GACCCGAAATTGGCCCGCTTTGTGGGGTGGCCCGCTTTGTGGTGTTGGGCGTTAGCTTATACTTGATTTGATACGCTTTCAGAACAGGAGCACTATCGTCTGTGCTAATCATCTATCTATTAGAAGATAGCTATCAAACGGGATTTCCTCCCTATCTCCACAATTGCTTTGAAGAAAGCGCATCCTAATACAGAAGTTGCTCCTTCTTAGAGTTGCTATTAGCACAACACTCAAAAGGCTTTAACTAAGGAGTATTATCGCAGAGTATATTACTAGCAGAATCAAGTCGTTAATAAATATAAGGATGCGTATTTCGCGCAGCACAAACATTTTTAGAGTGCAGAGCCTGCCTTAAACCTTGCTTTGAATTCTAGGTCTATTACATCTCGAAATTTGATAACTTCTACCTATCTTCAGGCCTCTAATTTCTATCTCTTTTGACCTGCCTCTTAACAAGATGACAAATCAGCTTTCGCCTTTATTAAACGAATTAAGAAGGTTAAGGAGATCTATTAATATCAATCTCAAAAGCTCTATTATCTGCTCTAGTGTTATTTAAATAATGATATAGCCTATACATAGTATAAAGTACTCTCTACATCAGAAAAGGAGACTTGTTAATAAACGCCCTTACATTAGATTATAATACTTAGTCAAGACTTTCTGAGTTTTCAAGCAGAGATGCTATTAAGTAATGAGCTAGAAGCTATTCGTTGGAATCAACTCTATAGACCAGCTAATATTCAGCCTTCTTCTATAGATTCTCTTACGTCAATTAACACCCGCATAGTCGAGATCCAGAATAGGATGTAAGAGAACGAAACTAGACTTGCTTATGGCCTACTTACTAAGCAGAACTATCTCCTAATGCAAGAGTATCTCCGGAATTACTATAAATACTTGATTCAGTTAATTGATTCGCCAGAGACAGCTTCGATTAAGCTATATGCTGTACGCAAACTAAATGCTATGCCCCCAATTAAAGAGGTCGAAGAAGTTGAAAAAGTCAACAAAGTCAAAGAAATCAAGGAATTTAACGCATCTGGCGCGCTTCTCTCAGGCGAAGAGCCTCTTACGGATTCAGCGCCCTCTTCGAAATCAAGTAAGGAGCTGCCCACATCAAACTCTGCGTCAGAATCAACTCCTGCGCCTGTTTCGAATCCTGTACCTGTTCTGGATCCTACGCCTACTTCAAATTTGGCGTTTCCTGCTGAATCTACGCCTTCCGCGTCAAAGCCTGTGGCTAATTTCGTTATTCAAGTCCGCAAGGATAGCACTATTCCACCTCATTCTATCAGCCAGGTCGCTCTCCGCCTTCATTATTCTGGTAAAGCTGACCTAACCCTTACGTCTACCTATCCAGGAGTGCCAAATAGAGTCATTTCAGCTACTCAAAAGGCCATTATGTACGCAAATCAGGACTCTACTCCACGGACTCTGAGGCGCAGCACGATACTCGGCACAGCGTCCTTAATCCGCGCCAGCAGTTTCGCGACCTTGGATTCTGCTCCTGCTTCTGTTTCTGCTCTTGCTCCTGCTTGTGTGCCTGCTTCTGCTACTGCGCCTACATCTGCTTCTGCTGCGGCATTTGCTCAGGACTCTGCAGCCTCTTCGAAGTCAGATACAGAGCTGCCTGCGCCAAGTCCTGCAACACTATCGAATCCGGCGTCGCCCTCTTTAGAGTCGAATGCGGAGCTGCCTATCTCGAATGCTGAGTCTGTTCTGAACCCCATGCCAGCTTCGAACTCCGCGCCTGCTTCGAATTCTGTGCCTGCTTCGAATTCCGTGCCTGCTTCGAATTTTGTGCCTGCTTCGAATTCCGTGCCTGCTTCGAATTCCGTGCCTGCTTCAAATTCCGTGCCTGCTTCGAATTCTGCGCCCTCTTCCATACCGAATACAGAGCTGCCTGCGCCTTCAAAGCATGCTACGCCCTCGAATTCTGCGCTTCTGAATCTTCCTCTAACGCTAATTCATATCAGCAAGCACTAAGGGATGAAGGATATTCTAAGCAATTTCATCAACGGCAAGACAATACCACACAGAGTCAAGTAGCAGCTATTCTCTACTACATCATCTTCAAATCCGCAGCTGCTCCCTTCAAACGCTGTACCCTCATTAAATGCCGCATCTCCTTCGAGTTCTGCGCTTCTAACCCTGCCTTTAGCTGTCATTCATCTCAACAAGTATTAGGGCATGAAGGATATCTTGAGCAAGCTCATCAATAGCGAGGCAATATCATACGGATGCCCTTATTCAATCAACCACTCTCTTCGAACCTAACACCCTCTTCGAATCCGGCGCTCTTGTCAACAAGGATACCGCACAAGGGTGGCCGTGTGGCGCTAAACCGAATTGGGAAGGAGTGTTGGGACTAGGAGGCGTTGGTTTTTGTGCTGTTTCTGCATTTGCTGCGTTGCTGCTCCGACCACGAGGCCGTGGTCTTTTTTCTGCTGGTGGCAACTGTTACGTACGTAACCTGGGCCAGGGCTTGACCGCATGCCAAGTCCTGCACACACGCTATGCCGCATTGGGCGTTAGGGCGCACTACGCCTATATCCCTTTGCTTCTCCTCTATAGCTGTTAGAGATCAGCCATCCATCTTCATACCAGTCAGTCATACAGTTGCCTTCTATAGCTTCTTCGTAACTCTCCGCTATCCCTATAGCACCCCCATACCCTGTTGCACGGCCTTCCGCGTAATACCTGCTAACCTTATGCGTTTAGACTATATGGCAGGCATAATTAGGGAGTGTAGTCTTAATATTAAGCCTGGACCTCTTAGGGGCCTTTGACAACGTCCTTTATAATAAGCTGCTAGATATCCTTAAGCAGAAGAGCCTCCTAGATTGGCTTATCTAAGTAGTTGTATACTTTTTACGTATAAGGCGCATGCATATTATATATAAGGTATGAAAGTAACTAGATTAAGACTAACACAGGCATTCTGTAAGGCTCCCCTTTCTTGCTAATCTTATTCTTATTCTTTATATCTAGCCTGCTAGAATAGTTCTAAGACCTAGAAAAAGAAATGTTAAGATTCGGCTTTATAAATAATACCTACCTAGTAATATAGAACGAAAGTATATAATAAAATTATTATAGGCTAATCACAGCTTATTTGTAATGCTAATAGCTCTTCCGATCTGTATTAGCTAATATACTTTATATAAAGCAGGCATTATATATAAGAGGACCTTGTATTAATTATCTAAATAAGTAATTATTAAGTAACAGTTAAGGACAAGGCAATTAGGGTGCTAGGGATATAGCTAGACCTTAAGCTTATCTAGAATAAATATATAATATATATAACTTGCAAGGGTATTATAGTCTTTAAGGCCTTAGCAAGACTAGTTATCTTTACTTAAGGACTATTAATATAACTCGCGACTACTATATATAGTAGTAGTTAGGCCTACCTTATTATATAGTGTACAAAAGTAGGGTTTAAGTATATAAGGCGTAAAGAAAGTATTAGTAAAAGCTGTAACTAAACTACTTAAAAAGATCTAGAATAGCTGCCTCCGCTATATTATAAGGGGATATAAGTAAACGCCTAAAGCAGCGCTAGAAAGGGAAACCTAGATCCTGCTAATTAACATCTATATTACAGGCATAAAGCAATGCTACATGATTAAAACAAAAGACTATCTCAGGTAGAAAAGGAGATCGCCAGAACAGCTAATGCTATATAGGACTGTATATGAAACACACGCTTATCACAGCTATGCTACAGGCTAAGAACCAGCAGAGAGAATGCCGCTGCTAAAGCGCAACAGAGAATCCAAGAAATACGCAAGTAGACAGCAAAGGGGCAGCGCCACAGGCGAACCGCATGCGTAATGCAGGCTTGCTGAACACCGCAGGGCAGAGGTTAGGACCCTCAACCACCTAGGCCAAGGAGACCACCTGACAAAAGGAACCTACTTACTAAATAGAGTAATCTTGAGTAAAAGAAGAGGTGAGCAGCCACACTACAGAGAAGAAGAGGCTAGCCACAAGCAACAATCTGGTCTACTCCTTAAGAGCAGGACACCCGCATGCTATACGCAGGGTTAACAAAGGCAGAGGCAACAGCGTTATTCTTAATGCGGTCAGAGGTTATAGGCCTGAATGTATAGTTAGCAGCTATCTAAGTACTAGATACTAACCTTGCCTGCGCCTGCAGCTGGCATACGCAAACAATTCGCCATATCCTGCTATACTGCCTAAGATATAACAGAGTAGGCATGCTAGCTGCCTGCGGAACAGAGCGTATAAGCGAGATCCTCTCCTAACCTGCATACGCAAAGCACGCAGCTCGCTGGTTTATCCGCACAGGGATCCTAGAGCAATTTCGCACTGTAAAAGAGATAGCAGAGGAGGAGCTAGGAGGGTATATAGAGTGTTTAATACAGCAGAGGAGTAGTAACAGCAAAGGTTGAGACCCTTTAAGATATTTAGTGTATGATTAAAAGGGTAACTACATAGGAGGGGGCAACAGGTACGCAGGTCTTAGCTTATAAGACTAAGCTAGTAAGAGAGAGGGATAGTGTTACAATATATGAACACGCCAAGCACTAACAGGCACTACAGAGCTGCCTAGCACTCTACAAAGAAACTATAACAGACTTAGACAGGACTAGACCCTGAACTGTATACAAGGTTAGATCTAGATAATATAATGATCAGAAGTGATTAGGGTAAGCACTTATGAGCAATGATCAGAGGTGATCAGGGTAAGCACTCATAAGTAATGATTAGAGGTGATTAAGGTGATTAACTCTAAGCATGAATCTTCTACTCTATATAAGCACGCTTATTTCCTAAATAGTTTTATAGTCTTTGTAATCAACTTATATTATTAGCTTATACTTAAGTTAAAAACATTTTAGTATTATTTATTATACTTTCTATTCTATCTAATTAATCCTTTAGACCTAGCTTCTAGTTAAGACTTGTCTTAACTAGTTAAGCCCTAACACTATAGAATATGCTTAGTACACAGCATAAGATAATCTGTTATAAGAGCAGATATAATAATAGATCTCTGCTATACCCTATTATATTAAAGAGATTATATAGCTCAAAAGGGGTAATAAGTAGGGTATTCAAGGCTACAAACGCAGCTGAGCAGGTACTAGGACCAAGGGCAAGCTCTTAAAACTGCAATTTATTGATAGAAAAACTTAATACTAAGCAGAGAATCGTGAGAATAGCGACGATAAGGAATGATCTGATGTTAAGAGTAAGGAGGAGTAATCCTGTTCTAATTCCCATACAAATTAGTATAAGCGCTAGAACAGCTAGTCTAGAGTAGTCTCTGACGCTAACATTAGCGTACTTGCACAACTTTTGGCGCACGCCTCCGTAAACCCCGCAGAATCAAGGCCGCCAACAAATACTCTACTTGTAATAACTATACGCCAAGCCCAGCCCTGCAGAGCTGAACGAATATACGAAGTACGAAGTACAAATCGTCAAATTGGACGCCTTCGACTCTTGCTCGACACCTCGGAGAATTGCACCGTCCCTCGAACACTGACCTCGTAGTCGAGGCATCAAGGGCCTGTGTCATCTTCGCTCTCTCCGGAATGATCTGCGAAAGCAGTGTCAACTCTTGTTCACAATTGACTCAACCTTTTGAAGCCTCAAAGAGCCCAGTCAGAACAGCATATATTATTAATAATTTGCTACGAAGGTCGCAGGAGTCCTCCATTGAACCCTGACAGGGCAATGCATCCATAAGCCATTTTGATCAACGATGGGTCGACAAGCATACATTACCCGTCTCGCTTTGGTGAGCCATTATTTCTTATTTCTTATGCCTTCTGCTCTTGTCAAATCTTGCAAGCTGTCCGATCCATCTGCTTTGAACTCCTTGGACATTCGTCGAGGTAGCCTGCTCTATGCGAGATCCGCATCGTTGCGCTCAGCAGCAAAGTCAACTCTTCTATCCCTGGAAAAAGGAAGGGCGAAAGTTTGACCTGGAGATACATTCTATTTCAGTGTGCAAGCTTCTGGGATCATTTGTTTACGTGCTTGCGACCCCTGGGATGTCAAGCGTTGCTGGTGAAAGCCTAGTCAAGCCCTCCTCTCAAGGTACCGTTATGCAGCACAGCTTCGGACATGATTTCAAGCTCTGTTATAGCCAACGCTTTCCGCGTAGATGAGCTGCGGGTCCTTGACACTTTCAGCATTACAGCCGACCTTGAAGCGGTGTGCTCTAATCACCTTGTGCTGACACAAATCAGGGAAGATCTCTATATGAAGCTCTAGTACTATCCGAATCTGGAGAGTATATTCTTGGACCCTATGCTTATGAATTTGAGAATAGAGATTACTTCACGTAGCAATATAATGAAAGAGGGCATCCGGAGAATCGAGAATCCTGTGTAGCAGCAAGGGACCTCTGTAGAGCAAAAAATGATGTGCTCTTAATCGTCAGAATGGTATACAAGAAGGCTGAACCCAAAAACCTGAAGAATGATGGTGAGCTGCTAAGAATAGTATAATCAGAAAACGAAGCAGGCTTCCTTTTGACTAGCATGGATAATCTTTTTATGTTCTACATATTATAGTGGCTATTTTCCTTAAGGATAAGGGTTGAGGTTTGCTTATTTGATATATGTTTATTATAGATTAATTATTAAAAAACTCTAGGCTTTTTAAAGCTATTTAATTCTGCTACTTTAGATCATTAAGTCTAAGCTATAAGTATCTGGTATAAAGTGATTTCTGTTCGCTAGCCTATCTATATACCTTGTATCAGCGGTGCTTAGCAGTTAACGTAGATATTAGATGAGCAAATATCTTTTATAGTAGCTTGCTGAGTCTGGTACTTCACAGATTTTGTACAGATGAATTACTATAATCAGCTTTATATACTTTGCTAATAGCTTGATAGTAACTTTGTATTCTTCTTGCTCTTTTCCTTATTTGAGATCCTTAGAACCCTGTAATGTTTACATCTAACTCTTACTAGTTAAAGCATGAGCGTAATATTACTC